GGGTGGGGAAGCAATGAGGCTCACATCTCGCCTACTGCAGCAACGTCACAGATGGAGCCTAAGTGATACCGCCGCTGTCACAGGGGAGCAGGAAGTGTGCAAGGGGCAGAAACGGGGCCCTGCTCCATGCCTCAAGAGAGATAAGGTACTTTGACTCAACTGGTTTTGTCATAATATTACATAAAGTCATCCATTATCATCCAATTTCCTTGACTGCTTATCCAATACAAGGTCACATTCTGAGCTTATGAGTTTCACTTACACACTAATATTCTGAGGGCTGAACAAAAAATGATTGGTTCAATCATATTGTATAGGAGGAGAGTCCAAGCAACTAGAGAAAGCAGGGCCAACCAATCAGATGTCTTGGTCCCGCCTCCTCTAGTTGCTTAGACCCACCTCCTCTACAAACTGATTCAATCTCTGAACCAGTCATTTTTCCTTCTGCCCTCAGAACATTTTTGTGTTAGTAAAACTCCCACAAGCACATTCTGATGGATATTATTGGCAGTTTCAAAAGACCAGTTCCTAGCAGTGGAAGGAAACACTGAAGGGAGACCATGCAAACTCCACACAGAAATTCAGGGGCAGAAATAAGCCCATCAACCCTAGAGCTGTGAAGCCACAGTACTACTCATTTACCCAAGATGCTACCACACCCAGGGTTGTAGGAAGTTGGGGGGTGGGGAGGATGTATACCCCCCAAATATTTAATTTTACTCCAAAAATTAAGATTTAAATTACTAAATGTCAATGTTAATGTCTTTCCTACACCATTGACCACACCTATGCTATATAAGACTTAAATTTGCAGATCTTACTGGATAAAAAACAGAAACGACGTTATTAGCCCTCACGCATATTACAGTTCTTTTAACTTGCCAGTTGTTTGAAGTTCTGACTCTTTCATCACACCAGGTAACTTGGAAAAGGACGGCAATAGGGAGGCTGAGGATCACCGAGCTATTTTTGGGATTGCCATTCCGTTTTAATCTGCAGCCCAAAGCACATAGAGGTCAGAACAGTGACTGTGTCCATTATTTATTGTCAGGCAGTCAGTACTGCAGCTCAAGCTTAACTAGTGTGTCAATCAGAGAAAGTTTTCACCCCCCCCCCCCCATCAGTAACTTAAAAGCCCAGATGTATGAACGGCTGAGGTGTGCAAAGGGATTTTTTGTATGGTGAGTGAACTATAATGAGTCATGGGAAAAGTCACACCCATCCAGGAATATTCCAGCAATGCACATCAGGACTCGTAATTTAGTACGACATCTACACAGCAACTGATTATAAAATTACATAAACAAGAAAACAATATTAATCTAAATAAAGGTCTGGTTTCAAGTACTTACAAGAAACGTACAAGAACAATTACCATCTAGAAAAAGTTCACGTATAACTGATGGCTAAATCATACCAAACTTACAGTACAGTCACATTCACAGAGTTTTTGAGAGACAGTTGTGTGAACCGGAGGGGGCATGACCAAGCAGTAATGTTGGCAGCCATGGGGGGGTCGCCTTAGGGTGTTTTTCTGTGATTGACGATTAAAAGGGCACTTGGAACACCAAAGGGAGGCCACCTTCATTTATCATCACACGACTCTGACTAACATGTTAGTCTTGGTAAAAGTCCCTTAAATTTAAAACAGAAACTGTTGTGATCCGCTGTTTACTGACCTGCTAAGCTGAACACTATGTAATGCTGTTCTTTGAGAAATATGGTTACATATTAGCACAATGTATTTTCATGCGTGAATGTTCTCTAGTCCTGATAAGTCCCAAAAAATATTCAGAAGCAGAAGGTATGTAATCAGGACTCACCATCACCAACCAATCCACTGCTCATTGTTGTGTAATTCCCTTCAGGATGGAGCCAATTACACTTGGTCCTCCTGTTAAGGATTCATTTTATGACTCATTGCTAAAATGTACGACTTGTGCATTTACAATACAGCTCCTACAGTACATTACATTTTTCGGCAAGAACAGTAAATGTAAGTTCAGTCTTAATAGTGCTTTTGGAATTTTAATGAGTCCATCCTAAGGCATTGCTTGTTTGAAATGTAGATCGTAAAATAGATTTGCTGTGCTGTTCCTATTCTGCATTGACAGCCCATATTTTTATTTGCTGTTATTTCTTTCCCTGCCTTCAGGCCATCTCTGTTTCCAGACAGTATTTACAATAAGACCCGCTGTGTTTCTGCGTAGTTGTTAATATGTAGCTTAAGAGCGGAATGATTCTCTGCCGTTATTCTGATAGAGCATGTGATTAATTGAGCATGGCAAACTGACATGTGTCAATGTGCTTCCTGTTTGCAATCTGGACAGCAGACAGGGTAAATAGCATCATGTGACTTCCCAGCAGTCTTTGCTCCTCCATGCTCCCATGTGTGCGAAGCTGTACCTTCCAATTGATTTGATACACAACGGGGAGTGACATAGAGTGCCTTCAGGAGAATACTATCGAACGGAAAAAAAAATACCCTTGGGTAACAGTAAAGTCTGACAGGGCTTCAAGGATAAAGAGACTTTCAAAACAATTCAGACGTAGCTTAATTAAGGCTGCTCTCTTGAACTTGCTGATGCCTGGAGAAAAAGCAAACTGATTAATATGTAGCTTTGATAAACATTCACAACTGCTAATATTTCAACAATTTAACACTTTCAACCTGTAGCCACCCCTTATGCAGGGCTACAGACTATGAAAGTCACACATTAAAAGGTAAATATGTACAGAAAGAGGATAACCAATACTACTGCAGAGCACTGAATGGGACATTTAGAGACTTCTGGGTTGTGTCAGTAATGCCAGAGTCTCAACAGAATGCATTTAACAAAAAAAAATATTTGTTTGTGCATTTATTTGTTTGTTTTATTATTTGTTTGCTTGTCGGCTTTTCCAGATAAACATGCACAAACTATTTAACCTTCCAACAACAATGACTAAAGCATGACTGGGTATATAGGTAATGCATAAAACATATCTTGACATAAATTAAGTGTAGGTAAACCTAAGTCCCTCATGTGAGGCTGTTTAACGTTTTTATTTTTTGCTTATAGTGTTCAGTTTATCACACAAATGTATAGATTAGTAAAGGTAGTTTGACTATTTTCATGAGATACCTCATCGATTCTGACATTTATGGAGGTTTTAAAGAAGAAAAAGTCACCCACTATCCATGAGTATTGACAACGATGTGAAATTATTTACCATTTTGCCAGTGGGTTGTTATTGTGGGGTTGCAACTTTATAGACTTTGGGTAAGCGTGTTTCAATGTGGCACCCGGCTACAGACACAATGAATAAAACATACACAGGGGGCGATTGCACCGCTACCACAATGCCCGGGAAAATCAATCTCTCACGACGTGGCCAGGGATTATAAATTGAAGCTTCTGGCCGGCCGGCAGAAGTGCCTAGCTGAGCGAAACACAAAGATTTTAATGACTTGTTTATAAAGCAAAAGTGCACTTTGTGGCAGTGACCAAGCATCGTCTGTTTTTTGGGTCTACAGTAAGCAGGAGGATTAGCATAAGTGATAGCACGGGATGACAGAGCGTGGTCTGAAACACGGAGAATACTCTGCATTTACAGGCTGATTTCATCTGTAGTCCTGCTCAGGGTCAGAGCTAGAAATTCTGAAGCCACACACTAAATGTCGTCCCCACCCCCCACACATACATACATTTAATTTTATGTATATTTTTACATATTTAAGCACCCCTGTAAAGTGCTGCCGGGGTATCCATACCCCTACTGTGCCCCTAGTCAGATCTAGGTTATCGTACATTAAAGTAAGAGGGCAGGGGACAGCAAAATTTTATAATGTCCCAAGATTTTGATTATTAAATGGCACACACATGCAGCGTGTAGTTAGAGTATGGAATAGTCTTCCTGCTAGTGTAGTGCAAGCTAAAACCCTGGGTTCCTTCAAATCAGAGCTCGATAAGATTTTAACAACCCTGAGCTATTAGTTAAGTTCTCCCCAAACGAGCTTGATGGGCCGAACGGCCTCCTCTCGTTTGTAAATTTCTTATGTCCTTATGTAGAAGCCATTCATCCATGCTAAGTAGCCACGTGTCCTATTCAGGGTCGCAGGGGGTCCGGAGCCTATTGGTACAAGGCAGGTAAAAGCTCAGGACACACTCATACATCAGTCACTCACACATGTATAAATATGGGCAGTTTGGTAACTCCAGTTAACCTCAGCATGTCTTCGGATGGCGGAGGGGAAACAGGAGGAAGCACCACAACAACACTGGGAGAACATGCGAACTCTACATAGATGGAACCCTGGTTCCAGAGGTGTGAAGCAACAACGCTAACCACTGTGCCACCATGCCACCCCCCCGGCATAGAATAATGTGTAAAATATATATATATATAATTGTGTAACACTTTACTTGAGGGTGCACAAATAATGTAGTAGTACACTCTTATTTAATGCATTAATTAACCAGAAGCTAAGTGTTATATGCTGATCCCATATTCATTCATCTTTAATGAAGCATAACAGTTTGCGTATTTTATTTAGGAACTGTATTAGTTCATGATTTGTTATTGAGTAGTACCTAAGTTATTTATGCCCTTTCAAGTAAAGTACCTATAACTAATATTAAAAGCTTATTTAATGGAACACCATTCATTTTAATAGACAAGTAAACAACGGTGCTTAATTACAGTCTTACCACTAGCTAAAAGTAAGATTTTTACAGAAAAAAAAAATTAGAAAAGTAGGACTTCTTAGGAAATGACATTTTATACGCATACTTTGTGTGTTATGTTTACAACGTGGGAAATGGTTATATCAAATACATAACAGAGTCTGTGTTAATGAAAACCTTGTGTCATTTCTTCATTGTCTTCATTTAACCATCTATCTGCATTTGTAGACTTCTATATATTTTAAGCATACATATTCACAATGAATACCTATCTTATGCTAATTAGCCACAAAGCATTCTCCCGTTTCACTCCGCCTCTTCCCCCTTAATTACCGGTAGGTCCGGAAAGCGGAGCCAGCTCCATCTGCATATTCGATTGGAGTCTTGGCAGACATCTCTTCACACTGTTTAGCATTAGTGCTGACCTGGGGAAAACGGAGGCAGCGCCGCGCTGACGGCGAGCGCCAGGGCCGCCCGTCGGGGATTCGCCGGCAGTCCAGCTTCCGCGGCCTGCTCGGCTCGCGGCCACCTGTCCTCGCGGCGCTCCGGCACGCGCCCCGCTAACGGCCGGCTCGCGGAGGACAGCGAGCGCGCGTTTCTCTGCTCACGTAATGAACGCTACTTCTCACGTGCGATAAAATGTAAACGGTACAACGATAAATAATTATGGGACACCTTATTTACATCTTCGTTTAACTCCCATTGAATTATATGGATTCCCTCTATAAATAATATAGCATTTATTACATTATGTTAAAGGAACAGTATGGTGTCCAGGATTGATTCCTGCCCCAATGCTGTGTCTGTGAAGTTTATTTCCCTGTGTTTTTCTCACAGTGTGTATATTAGGGCTGTGGTCCCTACAATACTGGCCAGTTTATTAGACCTGTACACCTGTTTGTTATTACAAACAGCCTGCTGCTGCAAACAGCAAAAGTGAATACATAGAGCGCACAGACAGGGTCAAGGGATTCAGTTACAGTTTGGCTAAGCATTAGAATGGCTAAAGATGCATCATCTGAGAGATTCTGAATGTGATGTGGCTGCTGGTGCCAGATGTGGTAGTTCCAGCCATGTCCCCGGGATTTTCACATGCTGCAGTACCTGAGGTTTGCAGAGAACGGTGCAATAAACATAAAAAAAGAAAGCTAGTTAGTGGCAGTCCTGTGGATGGAAGACACCTTGTTAATGAGAAGCCAGAGGAGAATGGTCAGGCCTGTTAAAGCTAACGAGATGGTCACAATGCAAAAATAACAGCTCAGTACAGCAGTGATGTGCAGAAACTCCTCTGAATGTACAGCTCGTCGACCCTTGATGCAGTTCTGAAGGCAAAAGTGGGTCTGAGCCAGACCGAGCGACATATACCTAATACAGCGTAGTGCTGTTTAACACTGTCCACTGGTGTAAATCATATCAAATTTGAGTGATCCTCGTGCATGTGTTCCACGTGCTTGTGCGCTACACCTGTTCAGCTGGCAGATGTCCCATTTCCCACTCAACAAGCAGGCGGTGATGACAATCCATCCATCATCTAAGCGCTTGTCCTGGTCAGGGTCACATGGGGGCTGGAGCCAATCCCAGGCAGCCCAGGACGGGACATGAAGCTCTTGTATACCCTGAATGGGATGATGACGACAGTCAAGGTGAGAATTTACGTCATCCTAATTAATTCCATTATAGTCTACTCAATATGGTGTTAACGTGAGAAATGACAACTATTATCCATTGTTAATCTGACAAAGTAATGTTTTAATGACTGATGATTTTCTTATTATGCTTATTTTTTTAACAAGTTTTTAATATGCTGAATTATTTAAATTTATCTAGCTAGCATTGTCAGTAGGCTAAGTGCTGCGAGTTGATGAAACTAGATGACTACCATGTTTCAAAATATGATCCTTAAAAAGATTATATAAAAGAAGCTATTTGATATGGTGTGTTAATCGGATTAATGCCACTTATTCCAGATTGTTAATTTCATGTGCCATGTTGTTGATCCTATTATTGGGTTAAGTGTGTCTATCATTACTGTGAGTATTGTGCCTGAGTAAGCATTGTGAGTTGCAATAAACTAAACAGACTGCGTTAAACTTAAACATTCTGACTAAGGTTGTGTTTAAAAGTAACATTTTTCTGAGTGGAAAAGGAACTGCATAGAACTGTGAAATGAACATTGTAGCCATAACAACAGACCACTTTTGGAAATGCTTTTGTTCTGTATCCAGTCATACCAGTCAACTAGCTACAATACTGTGGAGAAGTCTTAGGGCGCCAAAGAAAATTGTGTTTAAATTATGTTTATGCTGGTGTAAAATTGTGATTTTGTGTCTGCCAAAGTGTGTCAGTGTAGCCATATCTAAACCTTTGAAAGCTTAAGCCACCCCAGTATTTGCAGTTACCATCCAATATACCCATGTATTTGTTGAGCTCGACCACTAGCACTTTGTTTGGCTAATCAATAGCTCATGAAGTTAATTTGCTAATTCAGTTAATTCATGAAATGAGCTGATGGCGAAATAACACAGAATGGCTGGGGCACCCCCGAATTGAGGTTTGGGACCAAAAGTTGTGTTGTTCTTTACATCCAACAAGATAATAGTAACCTTTTGGAGAACAGAATAATTTCTTGTCACTTTTCTTGTCACTTATATTCTAAAGTTAAAAAGTGTTTTTTTTTTTTCTTTCAAATACACACTTACAGATAAGTTGCTTTAAACACTTTTTGGCTGGTTAAGACTTTTGAATTGTACTGTATCAGATAGAAGTAAATAAATTTGAAAAAATGCAGGCATATGGACAGACACCTCCTATTGGCACTCTTCAGCAGAGTGTCATGAGATTCTATCTTGTGCATGTTCAAGTTGTTTTTGACTTTGCCTGTCACAACCTGCTCATGTGCGAGGTAATTCCATGTGCTGCGGAGATTTAAGACAAGGCTGAGAACAAGCCTGACCAAAGACTGGCTGTACTGCATGATCACAGAAATGTCAAAGCAGACTGTGGACAAACCACACACAAGACAGGTGTCAGTGAACAGTGGAGGATCCAGCTTGCTTTCAGCAATAGAGTAAACAAACTGTTGATTTAACTCTGACAGTGCTAGACTGAAAAAACATTAAAGAACCTATGGTGAAATGTGTTATATAACCTGATGCTTGAAAATGAGATTTTATTTCAACAGCAAATGCTGTTTAATGAAATCTTTCCCCTTCTCTCTGTAAATTAGGAGTGGCAGTGACAGTCAGGGGAAATATATAGACACACACATTGCCATTCTAAAAGTTTAATGTAATGCAAATTTATTTCTTTTAGACTGGCAGTCTGTCCGTTGTCTTCCGCTGCCTCGTGTCCTGTTGCCCTTAGGATCAGCTCCAGAGCTCCACAGTCCTGACCAGGATAAGGGGTTAAAAGATAGTTGGATGAATCCTTTAATTAATAATAACAACAAAAAGTTCAATGGTTCCCCACCCTGTTTAAAATATGGCTGCAGCTGTATCCTAAGGCTAACACCATGACTGTATAATTGGTATGAAACATTCGCAGACATTACATTAACCAGTTTGGCCAGTAAACAAGCAAACCCTCTAACAGATGCTTGATGGCAAAAACATATTTGAAGTGCCAGTAATTGACCTGGGAATGAAGTGAAAGTGTCTGTAAAGTAATCCGCAGCTTTTTCCCCTTCAAGAACAAAGGGAAGTGCAATAACACCTTATCTATAAACAAGGGGATTGGGCAGCTTGATCAGGCTCGCTAATCCTTTTGCGCAGCCCAAGAGGTGAGCTGTTTGTTAAATCAGAAAGAGGGAGAAATCACCTTATTTCGAGACCTGCAATATCTGAAGGCGTGGTTTATACAGGAAGACTTCAGGCAAAATACCCGTCAAGCTTCCGTCTTTGGGCCCCAAGGGCCGTGACCCCAATGAAGGCTCTTAACCTGATTTACCGCAGTAAAAATATCTGGCCATATATAGCTGTAAAGTGTAAAATTGTAATAAAAATTCATATTCTTTTTTGACAATGGCAGGGTTTCAGGTTCCTGCTCTTTGAGCCTGGACTGCTTCATCCAGGAATAAATTTATGAATATCCGATATTTTTCTGTCAATACTTTGTCTGGCCAATTGCATTAAAATTCCCAGCCATACTCAGAAAGTATTCCGTCTTCCCCCCCGCTGGTGACCGGAGTAGATGAAAGCGGATGAAGTGCTTATAATGACATGTGGATGACCTGCATCCATATTGATCTCTAAGCCGACACCATCAGATGTCTTTTTCCTCATCCTCACCGCTGTGTCCGTCTGTTTCATTATTGTTTATTGCTTTCTTTTGTACTGGATCACAGTTCTCAAATTACATATCACGTCTTGAAATTCCACTTTTTGGACATTATCCATCTTGTATCATGTGAAGTGAGTGCAGCTACAATACCTGAGTTACGGATTGGCCGAGCCTAATAAATCAAATGTCACATGCTGTAATTACTTCTTAATTGTATTTTATTACTTTCAAAATAACATATTCTCGCCCTCAGTCATGCTTATTATGTTCTGTCCCGTTTCATGAGTCTGACATTGATTAATAAATCAGCAGAATATCCTTCTGTAAGGTGCAGGTAGCAAATTGGAGCATGACGTTAAACAAGTGTCTCTTATTCAGATAGTGTTCTTTGTGCAATCCCTAACTTCCTATTTTATAGGCCAGAATTGAGAAATAGCCAATTGGTCAGCTTTAAACAATCAGGAGTATTCCAGAATGAGTCATTTTCCTGTGTGGCATTGCAGAAATTTTCAAGCATAAAACATTCTCTGTTGCAAGTCAATTAATCTGCCTACTGCGATCATTATGCTTCATTTAATATCTGCCAAATTTTATTCAAAGCAGCTAACAGATTTTGCCCATTATCATTGGGGTTATTTATGTGAAGCTCATCTGGTCAACGGTACAGCAGCAGAACATTTAATAAGATCCAGCAACCTTTGAATTTAAGAGTCTACGTCTTTAACAGTCACTCCCCCTGTGGGTGAGGCTCTGCCTGTTCTAGACTTGATAGGTCCAACTGGATAATTTTCAGGGTTTTGAAAGTTAATTGAATCTTAACAGAAGATTAAGATCAAGAAGCTAATGGTTAAATATGAAGACCAAATGTGAAAAGAAGGTTTTGAAAAAGTCTAATGCATGAACATTATAATTACTTAAGACAAACTAAAAGCTCAAACTAAACACATCGTAACAGTGCATGTTAATCTGGGGTACTGTAGGAAATCACATTACTACCTTTGCAACGTCCATGTACATTATTTTGGTGAAAAACTACTATATATGAGCAGACTATATGTGCTAAAATCACCTACATTTAGCTGGAGGAACAAGATCTTCCTAATCTCGGTACCTGTTAATAATTGTGTTTACGGCTTGAGCTCAATAAGATTAATTTGCTCAGAATGGAAGATGTGGTCATTTATCTGCATTGTGCTTCAGGTGAAATGATCTATCGATTGTGAATCTTATTAAATTCA